TTGCGCCTAATGTTCCCTGGATAGACTCCAGATCCACTGCAAGCCTGACCAGGATAAATCGGATACTGAAGACAAAAGAACACATGGATCAACCTCCATCATTACTAATTTTATTAAAATGCCATACAAACCTCTTTTCAGTTCACCTCACATTGTCTCTGGAATGTGGAGACATGGCATTAACCCTGCCTCTCTATCTTTTTTAACTAGAAGCCCTAAAGCACCATGCAGCACCCCATCACCACAATGCAGCCTCGACATTTACAGATCTTCCCTCTACATTACATTTCAAAGCTGGCATCAATGCTGAATCCTAGCGTTCAACATTATAATCTTAAGTGTTTTACTGTGGGAGTGGATCTCTATTGTCCCCACACAGAGTCACTTAGTTCACTGCAACTGTAAAAGCTGCTTCATGCAAAATACCCATTTATATTAAAGCCATCATTCACCTTCAGTAAAAAGCAAAGTAGTGGACAGAGCATTAGTATGCATTATCTGCTTTTAATTGATGGAGATCATCAGCTCTCCAAATAACAAAAAAAAAGACATTTAGTAAGAACGCATTTACATAAAAACCCATAAAAAAGAGCCATAGTTGTGAAAGCAATTTGCCTTGGACACTTCCATTTTTTCCTTTCTATTAAGCAACACTCGGGCCACTGAGGTGACACGCTGGTGAAGAATACTGATAGTGTTACCGAGGTAGAAAAAGCACACAAATGGTTTAAACCTTTTGAAAATACAAAGCCACAATGCATGGTATATAATAATAATAATAAATGTAATAATAATGCTGGGGGATCTTTTCAGAAAGAGTTCCACCTTTACTGACATCACTTTTTTATTGAATATACAGTTTTCTCTTTCTTCTTTCCCCATCCACATAAATCAAGCACGGCACTGAAAAAGCTTCGCTGATACCATCGATTGTCCATATGTGTTGGCAGGGGTGGCTGGTGTAAATGGGATAGTACGGCTAAGCCTGCCTGCCTGGAAAGATAAAAAGACATCAATGTAAGTTTAATTTTTGGTATCCATATCAGACCACTTGCTGTGGAACCGAGCGCAACACAAACAATGGTCGTGAGAAGAAAAAAAAAACACAAAATGCTTTGAAGAAGTGAGGCTGATTTCTTTTTAGCCCAGACTTGTGTCAAAATAAAAATTCATGAATACAGCTGTCTATCTGCCTTTAAGGGTGCCTTTCTTATTATGTCATTAATGAGAGCTCATTGCTCAACCACTATTGCCACGTAAAAATTCCACTTCCTAGTTCGAAACGGTTTCTACAGTAGTGTTAGCGACATCATCAGAGGACATGGCAAATGATGTATTTTTCGTGAATATATCTTTTGGCTTAAAAAAAATGATAGCTCATCACATGAAGATGAAAAGGAAGACAGGAGCAAGCGAGCTGATGGGCAATAAAGTGAGTGTAGCTTGTTCAGGACCTATTTCCACTAGTGGGGGGAAAATAAACAGAACATTTGGCCCAAATATTGTGTCCAAAATGTCAGTTACTCGATATTAATTTCTTGTTTATAGAACTGTTGTTAAAAGCAATATTGCACTCGCAATTGAGTGGTTATACTGAATATCAGCACAGCTGTGACCAGCCATTACTGTGTGTTGAGAAAGATGGTGGTCATTCTTGTTACAGAGCACATATTTTTCAATCGTTTAATGGCAACAAACCCACTGCTTTTATGATTCATTGAATTAGTCTGTCTGCTTGATGTCCAGCTTCCTTCAGCTTCAAAATAACTAAAAAGCAAAAAGTGGTAAGACAGAAAACATCCACTTTCCACATAAATATCGGTAGGTGGCTGCACTTTAACTGTCCACAGCCATTAAAGACACTTCAAAGCGATTGCAAACATGCAACACCTCTTCCATAAATCAGCTTAACAGAGTGAGCTGGTAAAAGTTTAAGGAAGTTCCAACAAACATTTGCTACTTATTTGCTCATTTTAACATGACAGCCGTGAAATTAAGATTCCTTCAGTCTCAGCATGACAGGAAGCACAGCACCCTGACTTTATTTCAAGCTGTGTTCTCCTCTTACATTGTCAGAGTTTATCAGGGTCACTTTCCTTGGCTTCAGAGCTATAAACAACTAAAAACAAAACAGATGGTGATAGTGTTGCATGGTCCCTAACACCAAATATGATGACTTATTTTCACATGGAAAAAAATACACCTCTGCAATATAGTTCTCTGACGTTCGCCATAAAACTGTGCAGCTCTAACTTTGGTTCCCAAGAGTTTAAAGTGCAAGTAACATAAATGGTTGCATATCCCCAGAAGCAGATTTCTTTGCAAGCCTTAAAAGTATTCCTCTCCAGCCATAATCCATGGAATGGGGAATTGATTAAGACAGTATGCTAATAGCTAAAAGCTACACCAAAGGGCTAGGTTTGTTTTTTCATTTGTTTGTTTGTTTTTGTTTTTTTCTCATTTATTTATATGTTTGTTTTGTTTGTTTGTTTATTATTGTTGCTGTTGTTGTTTATTTACTTTTATTATTATTATTATTATTATTATTATTATTATTATTATTATTATTATTATTATTAGGGGACCCAGCACCGAAGATGCGTAGGCACCCTATTGTTCTTCTACCTTGTCTTATTATTATTATTATTATTCCGCTACTTCTTCTTCTTCTGGCTAGGGCATCTATGGCAGCTCATAGAACCATCTGGTTAAAAAGTTGTGAAATTCGGCACACTGATTGGTGCCACCATTGGGTCGAATTTTGGCCTAATTTGGAAGTATGTTTATGGTCATAACTTTTGAACCATGTGTTCAAAATTTAAAAGCCAGGCCTCACTGTATTCCCTGGGCTTGAGACAAGTTCAATGCACCCTATGATGTCTATTTCTATTTAGACTTCCTGCCATCTTGGATTTTGTCAATGGATTTTGTCCATCTTGGATTTTGATTTTTTTTTTTTTTTGCTACTCCTCCTACAGAATTTGTCCAATCATCACCAAATTTGACCTACGTCATCTTCAGAGTAAGCCTCATAAACGTTATCAAGAGAATTTTGATTATTCCAAACGATTTGCCCTTAATAGGCCAACGGATCTGAAGGCGACAGCACCAAACAGGAAGTGAGGCTGCATTTCAGCAACAACTTTGCACACTGACACAAATCTTGGTAGACATCCTCAGAACCTGAGGCTATGCAACAAATTTCGTGACAGCGCCACTTACTGGTCAAAAGTTACAATGGCATGCCAAAAATGCTTCCATTTAAGTGCCATTTTTGCTACTCGTCCCCCAAATTTTGTCCAATCTTCACCAAATTTGGCTCACATCATATTGAGACCTGTCTAAACTTGCACAAAGTTGGGGGAAAATGTCTAGACTAATGAGAAAAAACATCAATACCTTAGACGATTTCAAATTGCAAGAAGAAAAAAAATTTTGACCACAGGTCAAAGTAGAAACAGACAACTCCAAAGGTCACAGCATTAGTGGCAGCTGCAGCAGCAATGCCACCCTGATGGCCATTTGTTCATCTAGACTTTCCCTCCTACAGTCAGAGAATTCCACCATTGTCTGTGGTCAAAACATACACATCATGAGTGAAACTACAAATCACTCTTGAATCCCTTTGCCTGTGATTGCTTAGGCAACAATTGTAGTATGCCTGCGAATGTGCAGCTCACCGAGTCTGGGTGCTTGGCCCCGAAAATGCTGCATGCAGCTTTAATTTTTTTTATTATTATTATTATTATTATTATTATTATTAGAGGTGGTGTTGTTTTTTGTTTGGTTTCTATGCCTATTTATTTATTTGTTTACTTGTTTGTTTGTGAGTGAGTGAGTGAATGAGCAGGATACAGCAACTCCTGTACTGAAGGTCAGTTATTTCAGGCTTTCCCCAACACAGACTAGAACAGGTGCAGTATTAATAGCTTGCTCCTGCTCTGTGCCTGTGTTTAATCCTGCAGTGACATTCTGCGTACACAACAAAGTCAGCTAGATTGATTTCCAGCTCACTGTTCGTGACCTTGGGGCCGGTCAAAAACTGCATCCAGTGGAAATCCAAAACCACTTAATGTCACTCGAGACAGCAGTCCTTCTGTAAAGAGTGCTGAGGCTGAGAAGCTTTGTTGCTCTCTAAGAAGAGTAAAAAGCAATAACTGGCTCTCTGGGGTTTACTGCTAATCCCACAATGCCCCTGTTGGCCAATACGCTAATATCTTTATAGGCAACTTACAGAGTATAAATGTCTACATTATTTATACTATCAGCAGAACAGCATTTAAGTTTGAATGTGGTCTTTAGTAAGAAAGGCTCACTAGGATAGGATAATAATAACTTAGGGAAAATGATGATGAATTATTGAAGCAGCTTGTTGCAAATTCATTATTACATGCTACAGTACTGTAAGAGAAATTGCTGAAGAAACAAATAGAGTAGATTAAAGAAAAGTGTCTGTAGCCTATAACCACCTGCCTGTATATAATTGCTATAGGTAAGTATGTGTACAAACTCTGAAGCATGTGTGTGTGTGTGCACGTTATGTGCATACAGACCTTACAGAGCTTCTGTGAATAATAACGTGGGGAATTGACACGTTTTACACACATTTTTACTGTGAATTTCTCACATTGTGCACTTTCCTATGCAATTGTTTTCACATGTAAATTTTCCATTGCTTCATTTATTTTCACACGTCATTTTCCCCATGATTTATTTATTTTTGCATTTTTTTTTTCTGATTCATTTGGGGTTTTTTTGTGATTTTTACACATAATTCATTTACACACTACATCTATGGTACATGAAAGCTCTTGCTTTCATCCTTTACCTCTATGTCTCTACAATACAAGGCGTAAAAGTGAGACACAAGCCCAAGCCGTGTGTCTCTGTTTAGAGCAGAGTGCTGATAAGACCTCGGGAAACCTTCTCTTATCAGGCTGACCCACACACCCAAGCCAGGCTACAGACAGACACACTGCATAAAGGTGAAACTGCCATAATCAGTTGTAGCCCAGTGGTTAAGATGTCAGACTACTGATCAGAGGGTCATGAGTTCAATCCCCAGTACTACTAAGCTGCAACTGCTGGGCCTTTGAGCAAGACCCTCAACTGCTCAGTTTTGTAAATGAGATAAATGTAAGTCGCTCTGGATAAGGGCATCTGCCAAATGCCATAAATGTCAATGGAGTGAGATAATCTAAAATAATCCAGCATACCTTTCAAAGATTGCTGGAAAAAGCAATGTAGAACATATAAAGTATAACATAGGGCATGGAATTTTTTTTACTTGTACTTCTTTTGATGCTGCATTTTAGACAGTTGTGCTGTGATTACTGGCAAAGACTGACAGAAATGATATGGCATTTTAATGACAATGAAATTAAAAAATAGAGAGAGAGAGAGAGAGAGAGAGAGAGAGAGAGAGAGAGAGAGAGAGAGAGAGAGAGAGAGAGAGAGAGAGAGAGAT